GCAACAGTCAGTGTCATCCGTGGCGTTGGAACACACAGAATAATGTTTTGGCATGTTTTCGGGTCTTCAATCGGTTGTCTTCCAACGAGGCAGGTCCTTCTGTGGAAATGAATTGTTGTAGGGGCCTACGCAGAGGGAGCTTGGGGGGAGGGTTTATTCCAACAGACTCTTGGGTTTACAATGGGCCTCCTCCTCCTCCTCCTCCTCCTCCTCCTCCTCCTCCTCCTCCTCCTCCTCCTCCTCCCCTCGTCATCCTCCTCCTCGGCCTCCTCCTCCCTCTCCATCGGGGGTCGAGAGGGTCGAAGGACCGAGGAGCGAAGGTCAGCGGGCGCGGGTGTCTGGGGCCCCGATCGGGCCTCCTGGGGCCTTCGGGGGCCTCTGCGCGGCAGGACGAGGACAGAGAGGACGGGGCGGGGGGAGACGGGATGGGTCGATGGTGATGATAACCAGGAGAGGAGGACGAGGAGGGTCGACTGATGGTGGTGATGATTGCGATGCTGTGAGAGAAAAGTTGAATGAAATATCCTGACCATATGGGATAATCCATACGTAACATGTTAGTGAACAAGCCTCACCGGACCACGCGCTCGAGGTGGCGGCGTGGGGTCGGTGAGCATGTCGTCAACTCCTTTCTTGAGGATGCTCAAGCCAAGGGCGCAGGTCGCCGTGAGCATTCTCGCACGTACATAAGGACAATCATCTTGCGATACAACAATCCAACCACTCTTACTAGTCACGCTCGGCACGCTTGTCCAAAACGTCGGAGGTATATCGTAGCGGTCTTCCACTGCTCGTCGTTCGCCGGCATGTCTGGGGCACTCGGCGAAGGCGTGGCGAAAACTTGGGGTCGATGTCCCACAGTGCTTGCAATCATATCCAGTGCGTCGTCGTGTCTCGGAGGTGACCGCCCCCGACCTGAAGACCGCCAAAAGAGTGCGGTCTTCCTCACTCAAGCTCAAGAGCCACTTACAATATATTTTGCTAGAAGATGCCTGCACGTCGACGTCGTCAATCTCCTCAGCGTCGTATCTAGTTCGCACCACTTGCTGGAGGCATCTGATGCGTGCTATGCTTCTAAGAACATGCTGGGCTGCCTTGCTGTTCGTGCTGAACCTCCAGTCGTCGCCCACAACATGCTCCACTGCGTGCCTGACTCTGAAATCATCACGCGAGTCCACTTGGAGAATAGCGCCCTGGGTGGGCGAATAACGAATAAAGGAAAATCCCAATACTCGAGCGTACTCTGAGAGAGTCGTGTCCAGAAAATCACTCCACACCACTCTCTCATCCACTAACTTTCGAAATCCAAGAATCGCAGCTGAATATTCAGGATGCAACAATACGTTTTGCACCCAATAGCGTCCGAAACACCACCATCGCGAGCCCGTCTTCCACAGGGCTCTGCACAGTAGTCTCGCAGATCGTCTTGGTGGCGGTGTCACAATAGGCAACGCCCATGTCCAAAGCGGCCTCACATATGCGAATGCCAACCTGAGTCGTACTTGGTGGCTGCCTGGGATGGCGGCCAGCACTGAGATGGCGGTCTCGAGCTTCTGCCACCCGCCCCTCGGGATGATGGGGACGGTGTGGTCTGTAGGAGTAGCCAGAATGCCCAGATGTTCCACTTGGACAGGAACAGGGTCGTCTGTACTCCAGCGTTGCCTTTTACTCTGGTTCCCACAATACCCGATAGACGTGTCGAACTGCTGTGTCATCTGCGAGTCCCTGTCGAGATCGTCGGTATTCTGCGCTACCAGGCTTCTGTCGTCCATAAAAGCGTGTCCCTGCGATATCGGTACTCATAATACAAGCGTCGATATGAGTGTGCAAGGTGCCGTGCTGTCGCCCTGAGGTAGGCCTCGGCACGGGTCCAGTGGTGGTGCAAGCTCGCCCTGAATACAGCAGATCCTCGGGCCCTTCCACGCGGCGTAGCATGTGTACATGACGGCATACGGCATGGCTGAGTGGTCAGCCGCTTCCAAGGCCAGGTCGTGATCCACTTGGTCGAAGCACGCTGAGAGATCCATCTCCGCGCCACACTGACCTTCCGTGCAATCTTTCAGCCACTTGGAGACAGCGTGCACCACCGATGTATGTCTGCGGTTTGCCCACTGCAAGTCTGGAGGAGAAGCTGATGCCGTCGCCAGGGTCCGTAGCCACGCTCTCAGCAGCACGGATCCCACAGAGATGGGACGGGTGGCCTCCTCGTTCTTCGGAATGCCAGCTACCCGCCAGGAAAATATGGCGCGCAGCACTTCTGGGGGTAGTCTACCTCGGAGCTCAACTGCTTGTTGTGATGTCATGACCCACATATCGTACAGCTCCTCGGTGATGGTGGGCTATATCTTCTCCAACGCCTTGACCTCGCGACTTGTCCAGCCGTCGAGTCCAGGGCATCCTTTAGCTTGTCGGACTGCTGCTACAAAGGTATTCAGCGTGGGCATCCAGTCCTGTGCGTGTGACGACTTCGGGAACGCTACTGCCGAGGCGTGTTGCCTCC